CCCCCCCCCCCTTCGAAATCTCTGCGACACATGCTACGCCATTATAAGCGAGAACGCACGTGTGCTCGCTGATGCGCGCGAATGCATCGCGACGCCAGGGTATTGCCGTCGTCTGCGCTATCTCACAACCGTGGAATGAGCTTGGAGAATCCAAATTTGCAGCAGACACGGCATAACTATCTCTGTTGTACGTAAAATGAGCGAGATCTTTTAAAACAGCTCACACTATTTAGAAAGCGAGCCATGCAGCGCGAAAAGTTGCTGCAGAAAATACTGTAAACGCGTATTTTATATCAATTACAGATTGATTGTGTGTGATTCGATAAATTTTCATTATTATTATATAAATTACAAGTAGAATTATAATGTTTAATTTAAATTGGAAAATTTGGAAATGTGTTATTTTGCTGATATAAATATATGTTAGTTTACAGTTGCGTGTAATTCTGCTACTCGTTGTTATCGTCATGTAAATAAAATTTGATTTTAAACGTAATTTAACTAATGATTGTTATGACGACGCCTTTTAACAAACAAATACGATATATTTGGTTCTCAATCAGAAACTATCCATATACGCGAGATGTATCGGTGTCGGTTGAATAGGGGAACCAGGTTTAGTTGTCACACTTTTTACATACTGATAAAAAAAGATATATACAATATTTTTTTTAATATTGTGCATATTTTCATATAGGTACAACCTTTAGGTGAAAAATCTCCTAGAGATTTGACAATCTCTCGTGGAGACGTAGAACAGATTGTGATGAACAAAAAAGCCCAATACCGCTTTGCGAAAATCGCAATAACGTTCGACTAATTCCACTTAATTTGAGCCAACTTAACTCGAACGGTTATTTGGAATAAAAAGATTATATTGATAAATTATGTTGCAGTGATTGTTAACTAAAAACAGGGACAATTAGTTGAATTCATAATATTTCTTACTTACTAAAAAGAGATTGCGACCAGAAATCCCAAAACCAACAGATTAATAAAAATAGAGACAAGAAAAAATTTATTATCACGTCCAGTTTTGAAAAAGTGCTTGTAAATGCCGCATGCAGTGTTTCTATTTCATAAGCCATTTCGTATACCGAACGATTATGTGATACAAGCATGATCTATACTGTAGAGAAGAATATGCTCTTCCACTTGTTACACGAGATATAAGCTTTGTAACAACTGACCCGTATGACTTCCAGATCCGGTCTTCCCTGTATAAGACTGAATCGTATCTAGTCATGCACAATCAGTAACTACTGCGAACCTCTTATACGCGCTGGGTATTTACGCGAAACTATTAATTGGCTTCTAGTAAAGTAAGGAAGGGTTTATCCGGACATGACCGTTATCAAGCATCGGTCGTTTCACGGGTGAGTAGATAAGCGCTGGTTATGGTCAGACAGCGCCGTAGTCAGACGAACTTACAGTTACACGTGAATAGTAGCTCCCTGATTCCGACGGCGTTATCTCGGATAAAATTATCCCTTCGGTAGAGCCGCTATCGCGTCGACGAAAGTCAGAAAAACTTCGATAACACGGGCGGGAGATCATTTATCGGATACTTCGCTCCACACGGTTGGACGCATATCCAAAGAAAGAGGGCGATATATACCGTGGGATACGAAATAACGACGATGACATTATTATTCAACGTTACGAAAATTTCATGAATGTCGCGTTGATTCTTGAGTGCGCGGCACGCTCGCTGGCTGCCAAACAAAAATAGTCCGAACAACAACGTGGCGGTATACAACGGGGGTGGAGAGGAGGGGAGCGAAAAAAGCAAATAAGAATAACAGGTGCGCGGCGTGGAAAAATACACAGGATGAGGGGAAAGACCAACAAAGGTGGACGGGTGAAAGAATCAAGATCCGTCGGCAACAATGGACGCTATGGATGAAATGAAAATATGAGCTATCAGAGTGGAGCCATTTCGAGCGGGCTGGGATTATGGGGATAGCTTATACGAGATAGCTCGTTTAAGCGCACCCGAGCGGCCACCGAGTCGGAAGCGAATAATTGCTGCCTTGTAACGGTATAAATTTCGGGAGTTTACAACGCGGCAGTTCCCCGCCGCGCGAAACCGCGAGACAGACGTCCGCTGAGACATCTGGCGTTCTTACCTTGAAGAGGATCGAGATGCCCAGATTCATGAACGGCTTCGTGAAATCGATGACGCTCTCGCGCGCATAGTTGATCGTCATCGAGCCGACTGCGAGATCAGCTTTCTGTGAAGCACGAAAGAAAAACGGGCATGATACTCTCTTAAAGTGAATCGGCAAAAATGTTTCTGATTGAAAGGACTATTTCAACTATGATCCGTGAACATTCACTGATTTTCAATAGAAATATTGCCACTTTCTATTTTGTCTTATATTTCACTGATCTTGATGGAAGCAAGATTTCACTACGAAATCTGCAACATATAAATTATTTATATGTTATACGTACCAGATCCAAATTTTGGCTTGCCGCCACGATAGAATTAACGGCTTTTGTGCGCGTACAATGACACTGTCTATGTTCGCAAAGTGTATCAATAATGGCTACTATATTTAGAGAAAAACATGATAATAACAACAACAAGAGTTTTGTATGTAGAATTGTAATCTATATAATTCAATCAAAAAATAGGAAAAAGGACAATCCGAGTTCAAGCACAGGACTAATAGTGCTATGTACCATATGGGTAAAACCTTCCTTGTGTTAGGAAATCGTATAATATTTATTGAACATGAGTAATTAATATAAATAAGCAAACGTTTCGGCTCAATCATGAACCCTCTTCAGTGATAATAAAAACTCAAGGTATACAATACGAACGCATTACAATTAATTAAAGACCTGATTAAAATGACATGAATGTTAATCGCAATATTAAAGCTGGCAAGACCGTTACCGAAATAATATTAAGTAGTCAAATTAATATTAAGAAGTAGTCGTCATAACTATAAAAAATCATAAAATAAAATAAAAGTAAAATTGAAATGTAATAAATAATTAAAACAGACAATATAAAATACCTTTGTTGAGCTCAGCTAAAAGTAAAACGATCCTGTCAACGATAACATCGCCACGTCTAAGAAATACAAATAATTACAGATTTATTTAACCGAGCATTAACATTGCGGCAACGACTCGTGGAAGAGAAGGAAATCAAAACAAAGTTTATTTTCATAACAAGCCGCAGTAGCTACTGCCCAAATATTCAGTGTCCTTTTGTGAGTTAAGACCATGCTTTTGAAATTTGATGAAAATCATTTCTGAAATCAGGCGTTTCAAGTAAGAACGTTCCTCATGTAAAACTTTGGCATGATCCCAATCGAAATCATGGTTCTTCCTCAAACGGTGTTCCTGTATGGCCGTTAACTCCACGCCGTAGAACTCCTAGGAATTCTCCTATATGCCGTTCGGCAATACGTGTAGAGAGTCTTCTACTAGTTTGACCAACATATGACGCCTCACAACCACTGCATTACAACCTATATACAACGTTATTATGGAAACCAACTATATAGTTCAATCAACTATTTCATATAGTTACTGCAACTACAATTTTAGTTACGATAACTACAAAATAGTTTATTTAACTATATACATTACATGCAACAATATACATTAATAATAATTTTACATGCAAAACTTGTATGTAGTTGCCATTATCATGTCTTTTTTTAGTAACTGATATTTGATATTAACTGACATTTGATATTAATTGATATTTCTAGCAAACCTTTAATAATTTCAATATTATACTAATAAGTGAACTACCATTTAAAAAAAGGGAGAGAGAAAGAAAACAAATGAATAAAAAATGAATAAAAAATTATATATAAAATATTCTCGATAACTCTTTCAATTCGTATATTTGGTCGGATTTAATTAAAGTGGCTGATAGAAGTGCATATGTCATGAATATCGCTTTCGTGTGCGCGCTTGGTCGTGTTCGCAGGTGCGAAAAATTATTTAGACACGTGAAACGTGCCAGCGGGATAGCTGACGTGGCTGAGTGGAATGTTGTCCCCGATTCAACGAAGCCGCCTGGAGCGAAAGACCTCACATCGTGCATACGCACTTCTGTCGCGATATCTAACTGCTTTTTCAGCGTCTGGAAGCGCACTCGTCGCACGACGGCACACTGTGACGGCAGCTCGGGCAGATTTATTTCCGGCTTGCGCTGCATACACGCGGATATCTCTGGCAGGGAACGCTCTCGATAGGAAACCGGGGAAATCCCTTGTCCTTTCCTTCGTTCGCCGCGCTCGCGTGCGTAAACGTCGCGCGTTACACGGCGATTTTGTCGTGCAAAGCGACTGTCGGCGAGACACAATTTATACATCGCCGCCATCCATTGTTTATGCCCAGCGAATGCCGATTCTCATCTCGGAGTGTGCCGTTTGCTCTATGTCTTAAATATATTTGCTTCTACCTCGCCGGAGAACTACAACCTGACTGCAGTAAATATCAATCATGAGGCGCATGAAGCGCCACACGATGCACCGACCGTTTCTCATGACGTTATTCTCGCACCCGTTTGATTCGAGAACGAAATTCGCGATCAAGGTCTCGTCGCGTCGGCAAACAACCCGCGAATATTTATCTCACGTGTCACCTGATTAGGTATCGTTTGGATGTAATTTATTGCAGATTATTGCATCTTTGCGCTTATCGGTTCTGACCGATGAAATATCTGTGCAATAATCCGCTTGTGCGATCCCACACCCCCATTCCTTCGCGCAAAAAGTCGATACTTCATAAATACCAACTGACACTATATTATGAGCGTCGATGGTTAAGCTATAAACGGGATATTCGAGGATCGCAATGGATCTCTCGTACGACGAACAGCTGAAATATTCGATATCGGCGTCGTATAAAACGACACCAGTTCATCCGGAAAGATATTTCGGACTCGGCGTCGCTAATTCACGTGTGATTTATGCTACGCTCCTACGTGCAATCCTGGATGACGGTCGCAATAATTTGTTGCGTACGCTCTCGCACGATGACAGCATGGCGCCATTGCGGAGTCGCGATGCATCGTGCCGTCAATCGTTTATGAATGTACGAGCAACGTTGTTTTCACATATCGACGTGTCGGCTAGCACGAAAGCCAGAAGCCAGCTCGAACCCCCGAATAGTAATAATGTACCGGAAAAATGATGCACGAGATCAATTTTCCGTGAGATTGTAAATATGCAAAATTATGAGGGTAGTTGGCACTTTTACGCGCATTTAATACTCCGCGTCATTCTTGCCCAAAAATTGGCTCAGCCGTTTAATAATTTCCGTAATGATTGTTATACGTCGTATTAATATTCTTGTGAGCTTTGCTACACTCGAAAAATAACATTTTATTTGTGCGAATGTCCAGTTAAAGGTAAAATATGTATCGAGCATATTGACATATTCTCGTTCATAAGATTCTCGTTCAACATATAATGTTACATTACGTATGATATTTTTGATATACAAATATTTCAAAATTCGTTGCTTTAATCTTCGCGTAAAACCGCGTAACATCTCTTTGGTATTTCTGTATGAAACTCATGTTCGTCATTTTATATTTCTGTATGAAACTCATTGTTCGTCATTTTGTGAGACCGCCTAATGCCACGTATTATAATGATTTACAGCGCGAAATATTTCTTCAGTGAATATAAAAGGAAAGAAATTCGTAAAGGAAAGAAATAGCAGAAGTAAAAAGTTTTCCAGATAAAAACGAGCCAGACAGTTTAGCGTGAAAGAAGTTGAGCATGTACATGTTAATTAATACGTCACGGTACTAACTAGCCACTCGCCTGTCCCACGCTTTGACGTTTCACGGACGTCTCCACGTCGAGATCCTCTTAACTGCACTTAAGTCGTTAAAATACGATGCGCTTGTAGGCATATTACGCGGTCACTTTTTTATCGTCATTTTTACCCTGCCGAGCTTTACCAGCCGCCCCTCGGCGCTTCGCGACTGCGGCTAGGCAAGCATTATTAATGATCATCTGACAAAATTAATACTGCCGTCCGGATAACATAGTGCCGAGCGCTTTGTAACGCGCCAGTCCGCGGGACCGACGAAAATGAGAAATTTTGCGGAGTCGTATCGCGATTTCTCATCGTTTCATGCCAGTCCACATGTGCGCGTGCCGTTTATATGTGCGTTGTTATATCGACGATCACGCCACCGCTGGCGAGCGTTCAATGCGATCCGGATCGAGAAATATTAGACGATTAATAATCGTTGTTTCCACGTCACTTCTGGTCTCGAAATTTTAACATGATTATTCCGTCCCGTCGAGTACTTGCACGTTCCTTGCCACAAGATGGATTTGGTTGGCGGCGAGAATGGCTTCCATTACCATGGAATTAAAATGTAAGCACACTCAGCTCTTTCTCCAGAAAATAAGCGCCAAGTAAACAGACTACTTCCAAACTTTATCGACAAATTTTTCAGTTTGTTCGTCATCTTACTCTCTAAAGCACAATCACTGTATTCTTTACTGAAATACTTACAGCTGATACTACAATCACTTTTCTTTACTGTATTCTTTACTGAAATACTTACAGCTGGTAGTTTAATTATAAGTGCACCACTGTAATCAGTAAAATCTCACTGATTGAATCACTTAATAGTAGCGACTATTCCTATTATGATGCAGTTTACGAACGCAGATAATGTCATTGCATGCAAGCCGTGCATGAAGGCAGTTAATTCCGTCACAAATGCAAAAACTTGGATTTGATATGACGTATAACGCAACTAAAGATTTTACAATGAAATCTTACTTCCACTGATCAAAATCAGTGAGAAATAAGACGAGGTAGTAAAATGGGAGTGTTTTACTGAAAATCAGTGAATATTTACTAATTATCAGTAAATGAGTCATTTCACTGATTCAATCAGCATTTTTACCGATTTATTTGAAGAGGATATGAACAACAGATTGAATAAACAATAGGTTCTCCTTATTTTGCATGTGTAATTACAATTACACTAGGACTGTATGCAAAAGAGTCGTAGAATTAAAACAAATCTGGATTTAATAGCAAGAAATGTTTCTTAAATGAGGATATTGTAAATAAGTTACAATGATTAAAAGTTACAATGAAAAAAGGCTTTGGATTATTAACGATGTTACAGGTTGGAACAATACCTCTTCAATACTGTCTTGTAAATACTGTCTTCAATACTGTCTTGTATTATTACGTTAAATTAAACGCAGACATTTTAAAC